GCGTCTGGTTGCCGCTAGACGCAAGGTCTTGACACTGGGGACTCCAATAGATCTTGGTCCTCAGAACGGAGGGATCTCTGGGGTTGGTAGGGGGTGAGGCGGTCCCTCAGGTACATCGGCCCCAGACCATGCAAGGCCTTAAAGGTGAGTACCATCACTTTGAAAGTGATCCGGTGCTCAATTGGTAACCAATGCAGCTGTAGTAAGATTGGTGTTATGTGGCATCTCATCGGAATTCCCGCAAGAAGTCGAGCAGCTGCGTTTTGTACCAACTTGAGCTTCCGAATCACCGACAGAGGGAGGCCAATGTAGAGGGCGTTACAGTAGTCCAGTCTTGAGATGACCGTGGCCTGGATCACCGTAGCTAGGTCGTCCCTGGACAGGTAGGGGGCCAGCCGTCTAGCCTGCCGCAGGTGAAAGAAGGCGGTTCTGCTCACGGCGGAGACCTGGGCCTCCATTGTCAGCAGAGGGTCCAAAAGGACTCCAGACTCTTTACCAATGATGACGGGCGTAACGCCTCGCCATCCAGGGTGGGCAGATGGATGTCCCCACTGCCCGGTCCACCCAGCCATAGGATCTCCATCTTTGCTGGATTCACCCTCAACCTGCTGGTACGCAGCCATCCAGTAACGGCCTCGAGGCACTGATGGAAACAATCGGGTACAGAGTCCGGTCGGCCTTCCATCTTCAGCACCAGCTGAGTGTCATCAGGGTACTGATAACACTCAAGCCCAAAACCTCGAACCAGCTGAGCAAGTGGTCGCATATAGATGTTAAACAACAGAGGGGAGAGAATGGCCCCCTGAGGAACCCCACAAGATAGAGGGGACCTCTCAGAGACCAGGCCTCCCCTCTCCACTCGCTGTCCACGGTTGTGAAGAAAGGAGGACAGCCAGTTTAAAGCTGTCCCCCTGATTCCAGCAACAGCAAGGCGGTGGGTCAAGAGATTGTGGTCGACTGTGTCAAATGCTGCTGTGAGATCCAATAGCACAAGCAGCGCTGACCCGCCCTGGTCAAGCTGGCATCGAAGGTGATCCGTGATGGAGACCAGCACAGTCTCTGTCCCGTGCCCCGCATCTAACCATTTAACCATTTAATAGATTGTATCTATTCTTCATGACTTTCTGTATAACTTTTATTGTTTTTATACTGCATCAATTTCATATATTAAATATATATAAAGTTCTTTACCAAAATATAACCAGATAAACCAAGACATTTACCTTCCTGCAGAGAGATTTCCTAGACAGGAAGGGTGGACAAACCCCCGGTCTTTTTTCATTAACTAGACCCATTGTTGATGTGTATGCAAAGATAGGTGATTTCCTGTCAGGCTAGATAAACCCAAACCTCTCAGCTATATGGTTTACTTCCAACTGAGAGATTTCTGCCCACAAAAACAGGAGCTTATAATGTGCTTGTATTAAACCTCTTTTTTGGTAGCCAAGCCTTTGAGTACTCCAAGAAACATCTCTGCCTTGCACCTTTGTTTTCTAAGAGCTCCTATCTTTGCTTGGCATAAAACTAGATATTGGAGCTCATCAGAGGCCCATCTCCATACTTCTACTCTTTGGTTTCCCCCTGTGCCCTTTGGGGGGGGGGCATCTCTGCAGCTGATTGGTCCTCCACTATGACCAATCCATGGTTGCCATTTCCCCTGCCGACCAATCCTGGCATGGATCCTAGCCAGCCTCTTTTCTGGCCAATCAGGGGAGGGGCTGGAGGTCTGAATAGCTATCAGAAATGTATTAGATATCTTGTATTTCTCTGTATGTTTATGTGTACATTTTGAAGCATAATTGCTGTATATGTATCCATTTTGGCCAAACTGAAATAAACCTCTTTGGGATGTCTTCAACTTGGTGAGTTGGTTTCTCTTTCCTGGCCTATCTGGTTTTTAGCATAGCTCACTAGGCATAGATACCCTTTAACTGGGATCCTAGTTAACCACAACAGGGGTCTGTGTGCAAAGTGTGGTCCAGATCCATCATTGGTGGGGTTTGCGGTGGTCTCTGGATGTTGGTCAGTACCCACCCAACCCACATCATCCAAGTTCCACCCCCCCCCCCAAAAAAAACCCACAAGGACTTATGAAGGGTCTGTGTGCCAAGTTTAGTGTGTCCAGGTCCATTGTTGGTGGGGGTTGCAGTGGTCTCTGGAAGTGAGAACCAATAGGAAATCAGCCACAAACATATATTGTCACCACATACATATGTATGTACATACATTCACTTTTATTATATAGATAGATGTAGATGTAGATGTAGATGTAGATGTAGATATGGATGGATGGATGGATGGATGGATGGATGGATGGATGGATGGATGGATGGATGGATGGATGGATGGATAGATAGATAGATAGATAGATAGATAGATAGATAGATAGATAAGATAGATAGATAGATAAAGATATATAGATAGATAGATAGATAGATAGATGGATGGATGGATGGATGGATGGATGGATGGATGGATGGATGGATGGATGGATAGATAGATAGATAGATAGATAGATAGATAGATAGATAGATAGATAGATAGATAGATAGATAGATACATACTCTTTTCTATCTGGAAAAAAGAAGACAGAGTAGTGAGGGATGAGTAAGTGTTAAAAGCCCATGAAAGACAGAGGCAAAATGTAGAAAAGGGTTGTGGGTGGAGAACAATAATTTGTTGCAAAATATCTCACATTCAAGTTTAATTGCTGAAATGCCCTGAGGACATCAGAAGGAACTGGCAAAATCATCTCTGAGTATTCCTTGCCTAAGGAAACCCCATGAAATTAATGGGTCCGCCATAAGTCAACAGGCAATGTGAAGGCACATGTATACACACACATAAAATTTAATGGGATTAAGTTCATTTCAATCCAAGTATTTTCGCTTAACTGGGTCAACTGGATCCAGTGGCATAAGTCTACACAAGGTGGCATAAGTCTACACAAAAAAAAGTTTTGAGGGAGACATCATGATAATGGTGTATTTGTTCAAATGGTTGTTTTAAAGAACAAGTCTTAACCTTTACTACCATATGCAACATGGTGGGAGACAATCCATTTTTCCAAAAGGAGAGTAGATGTGTCTTAGATATCAGTGAAATGTGAATCTTAAAAGTCAGTTGGGTAATGGGATGAATAGCACAGGGAAGCTGTATTATTTCCTTGAAGGAAAAGTTTTCCAAAAGAAAGTGGATATAAATTCTCATTTGGATGTAGTGATACTTTATTTTAAAGTAAGGAGTAGAACATAAGAATCTTCCTCATACTGAGATAGATAATTGTTTCATCCATCCCAGGATTGTCAACACTGCCTGGCAGTAGCTCTGCGGGCTTTCAGGGAGAATTCTTTTTGAGTTTTACCAGATTTCTGGTATTTATTGATAGTCCCCTATCCATGTAGTAACCAGGCTCATCTTTGCTTAGTTTGCCACACCAAACAACATTGGGTGTACCCAGAGTGATATCAAGTCATGTTTGAGAGGGCTTTCGGTCGATGGGATTAGATTAGTAGAAAGCCGATCTTAAATAACAGTTAGGTACCCCTGAGTAGGAGCCCCCAGTAGCACAGTGGGTTAAACATGCTAACTGAAAGGTCGACAGTTCAGATCCAAGGAGCAGCGTAAGCTCCTGCTGTTAGCTCCAGCTTCTGCCAACCCAGCAGTTCGAAAACATGCAAATAGATACCACTTCAACGGGAAGGTAACGGCGCTCCATGCAGTCATGCTGGTCACATAACCATAGAGGCGTCTACAGACAACGCCGGCTCTTCGGCTTAGAAATGGAGATGAGCACATGACTAGACTTTATGTCAAGGGGAAATCTTTACCTTTACTAACCCTCAGTAGAAACAGAACCCAAAGGTTTTTGTAAACATTTGAAATATTTAGCACAGGCAGTCCCTGCATGACAAACATCCCACTTACAAATGATTCATAGTTAAGAACAAGGGCGAGAAAACAGGAAGTGAGAGAAATCTACCTCTAGGAATGGAAATTCACTCCTGAAAGTTATCATGGAAAAAAGGTGTCTCCCCTGGAACTTTATCTCCAATCCTGGTTTCCACAAGTCAGTTTTTTTCAAACTCCAGTAATCACAGGGACAGAAAATGAGGTGAAATCTTCTGAACAGGGACACAGACAGCAAAACAAACACCACAGGGATGTTAACCCTTCCCTATGCTATCCAAAGCTTGTATGTATGTATGTATGTATGTATGTATGTATGTATGTATGTGCATATATGGCTAGAGCTACACTTTAAAAAGTGCCTGTTCTGACTTACATAGAGATTCAACTGAAGAACAAAGAAAGTGAAGGTTATTAGACTTTCCTCATCACTTGTGCTATTTGTTTGTTGCAATCCATTTAGCTAGATCATCCTATATGGAAATATCAGGAGAGGTGGCCAAAAAGAAACACTACTGCTTTTCAATTGGATATATGAAATTCTCGAAATGCTGCATTCTCTGATACACACTACTGTTTTTCACTTGGATATACAAAGTTCTCAAAATGCAGCATTCTCTTATTAATGTAAGCAATAGTGAGTTCTATTCTTGTTTGTTCTCTCTATATATCTCTGTGTGTAAGAGAGAGAACAATTTGAAACAGGTGTGTAAACTGGACATATTTTCACATATTTCCTTGTTTCACATCATTTATCTTACTAATTATTTACACAAATAGTGAAACTGTGCCTTCTGAAAATAATGCTCAATAAACTTCTAAAATTTTGCTAGGCATTGTCCATGTATTTTCAAAAGTGTGCATTCACAAAAATAAGATATTTGGTAGAAAAGGGGAAGAACAAAAGTGTAATTCCTCAGAATGCAAATTCATGCCAAATTCTATGCTCATATGATATAACTGGAGAACACAAATTTCCCTTTGAAGCAAATGAAACAATTTGGCCAATGTTATATGAAAAATAATCTTTAACTTGAACCAGTAGAAAAGAATCAAATATCAGAAATTAATCAAATTTTAAGACGCCAATGTTAATGATTAAAACAAATTTATTGCATCTGCTATTGGAAGGATTAAGAACTGCTTTAATATGCGGAGGGACAATTTCTCCAGTAATTTGTCTACAAGACATACTTGGTCAAACAATATGATCAGATTTACAATGGAAAAAAATATATAATAATAGTCACTCAAGAAACAGCAAGCATACAATGGAACTAAATTTAAAATCAAACCATACCATTTTGAGAGCAATTGCTACAGGACATTCTTGCAGAAGTTTTATTAACAGTCATTAAAAATAGCAATACAAAATTGGAGAGGGGAAGAAACCCACCTCATTCTTAAAACATTAATATTTTAATACCTACTATACCTATAAGGTAAAACACTACAACAGAACTAAATATATGCAGAGCCCTGAGAAGCACATTTCTCAATTTAAGAACAAAGAATCAAATTCAGCATAAAGAATGTAAGAAGAGAATCTTATTGCTTCGAAACAAAAGTCCATTTTGTACCTAGCAACTTTTTATTAGACACGTTTTAGAGAGATCCATTTCACCTCCCTGAAAAACCTCATGCCATCTGCAAATTCAGCTGCCAGATATGCTAGAAGCCATGCTCAACTTCTCAATGTGCAGTCAGTGGAATGTGCAGAAGTTCAGACTAATCAAATTTATCACTGAAACAATGAATCTTCTCTAGTTGGGACTATCGATAGGTCAAAAAATGCAATCCTAAATCCTAACTGCCCTAGAATGTCTCCTTGACAGCATTATACTCAAACCCGTAGAACTCTCCAGGGCCATAGGAGAAGGTTCTCCCTGATCTTAACATCCTTCAACAAGCTGCATTGGTGGTTAAGACTGCTTCACCCAGGTATTTAAAAAAATTCAACTAAATTGGGATTTCTAAACCACATGTAGGGATACCTTTAAGAAGGACTACATTACTATAATATACAGAGCTTGACCTGACAATTTGTAATAGGAATAAAACACACATCCAAAATTATTCTTAAAGTTACTTTTAATGAACTGCTACTATGGCTGATGAAAACTGCACAGATGGAATATATTCCCTTCTTCTCCCAGTCTGCTAAGCATCCCCCACAAAAAAACAACTCCTTCAATACAAACACATAAATATCATTAAAAGCTTATAATATGTAATTGCACTCTATATAGAATTGTGAAATTAAAATAGGTGCTTTATCAAACTTCAGAAAATTAACATTAAAAATCACAAAGTAACTACTTACATTAATATTATGATAAAAAGTCATGCTAGACACATATTCTAACGTATCCATATCCCAAAAAGCATTAAGATGTTCTAAGTTTCCCTTTAAAAGATAATGTTTGTTCATGCTTAATACTTATCATGCTACCGTTGGAAGTCAGTAACATGCAGTCCTATACAAGTCTACTCAGAAATCGTCACTATTGAATGTGACTTCTTCCCATATAAATATGGCCAAGATTGTCGCCTAAGTCAGTTATTCAGACTGAGACAGAATACCTGGGTATAAAGCATTCCCATCTGCTCAGAAGAATTTCCATTAACCCACTATATAATAGTGAACAAAATATTCTTGTTTCATAGAAACAACTAACATTTGCCTCAATTGGACAAATGGTCTATTTACAGTTACATTAGGGCTGCCTAACTGACAGCGAGTGTAGGTCATTGGTACTCATGGAGCTTAACAGAGGGATGATCGGTGCTGGGTGGTCTTCCCTTTCAAAATCCGTCTGATCTGAAGAGCAAAACAGAAGTAACACGGTGTCAATATTTTCTCATTCGAACATTATGAACATATAAGGCAATTGTATTTATGAAGACCAAAACCCCACTGAACTTAGTAAGATTTACTTCCAAGTAGCCTGTCCCTAAATACAAACAGGATACCTGTTATATAATGGGACACATTAGCACCTTTATGTATGAATCTAAAGTTTTAAAGTCAATTCAATGGTTGAAAAAAACCACATACAATGGACTCTCCCGGATTCTCACTGGCTGCAGATTGTCACTTTCTATATATAAAATGGTGGTGACATAAATGCAGATGCTGCCATTTAACAATATGGAGTCATTTGCTTTTGGGGCATCCATGTAGGGTCCTAGAACCAAACCCCAGTGGATGTAGAGGACCCACTATAACTGCATTGAACTGAAGATTTGATCATAGAATCAGAAGATACCTTATTTATTTATTTATTTATTTATTTATAACATTTATATTCTGCCCTTCTCACCCCGAAGCGGACACAGGGCAGAGCACAGCATATATACGGCAAACATTCAATGCCGAGACAAGAATTCATATACGCATGCATAAACATTAAAAACATTAATTCAATATTAAAATACACCATTTAAAACCTTGTGGGCCATCTAGTCCAACCCCCTGCCAAGAAGCAGGGAAATCACACTCAAAGCACCCCCGACAGATGGCCATCCAGCTTCTGCTAGTTGATTGCTGGATAAGCTCAAACAAGTCAATGGAACTACATTAACTTTACAGTTTTTAAAACATTGCATAGTACTTTAGACTCTATTTCTTGAGATTGTTTATGCAAATAAGCAACACTGGGCTCAAACAACATATCTACATCAGGAGCTTTGCTGTACTGTAATATATAGAATCTGAACACAGGAAATTATTCGCAATGTATTTAACAAAAGGTCAGAAAGTGAACAGGGGGGAGCCCACAAGTGCACAATAATATGAGAACGGTTAGTGGGTGTTCCATAAAGGTTATTAACTGATACACTCCTCACTTTCTTGGGAAAATAAAAAGCAGACTCCTATTTGTACTATCTCTACAATGGGAATTCTAAAATATATAAGAAGCATCCAGTGACACACTGCAGTCTCAAACAATATCCCAACCTTTTTTGGGCTCCTACCTCAACTCCCACTGGTCCATCAGGAACAAGGTGAACAGGCTGCTCATTTTCCAAGTTCCTGGCACTCGGATCTGCTCCTTTACGCATCAACAAACGGACTGCATCCAACTGAGTCACCCGGTGCTGCAAACTAGCAGCTACATGGAGTGCTGTATTGCCATTGTAAGCCTGGTTGAGGTAAGAGAGAAATAACATTTTTAAAAATGATGGGATGGGATGGTTCATTACCACAATCAAGGACCTAGGAGTTAGAGACAGTGTGAGTGTGATTTCGGTTCCCTGACTCAATATTTACATACCTTGGCATTGATAAAAGAGAGGCAAGAGGGCAGCTCCAAAAACAGGCGAATGAGTTCAACATTTGCTTCTTCGGCTGCCAAGTGTAGGGCTGAACGGCCACTTTTACGATCCTGTTCAGACACACACAAAAAAAACCCCACTTAATTGCACACATGAAACAATAAAATACTACACAGTACAAGGGCATATAAAATCACTTTATCTGATATGAAAACATTAAATGCACTACATAATTTTATTGATCAAGACAAGGACTGTTGTTAACAGTACTATTTCCATTTTATGCACAGGAGCTGACCCTAAGAGATAGCATTTTTTTTAATCATCCAATAATCAAAGCTTGGGATATACAGTAATCTTGAGTTTTTCTCCATTTCCAACAGAGCTATCTATTTTACTATAATGACTCTGGAAAAACTAGGGAAAATTAAATTCAAGCAGCAACTCCCCTGAAAAACTCACAGGCAATTTACAATTACATTAATTAATATCTGCACACTCCACTCATACCTAACATACCAATTAAATTAATGGGTCAAAGCCCAATCTAGGAAGGTTTACTCAAAAGGAAATCACACTACTAATTTCTATTAAACTTATTTCCAAGTAAAAATGCTTAGAATTGTGGTTTTGACTGAATTTTAGTTCTGTTCATTTTTAATGGAACTTAGCTGCAACTGGCTTCCATTTAGTTCAAAGTAAAGAAGGTCTGTTTTGGGGATTATTTGGGGCACTGATTCTGAAAATTGCACTGGATAGACCACATCAGCTCTAGTTTTTTAGATATGGTTACCATGTTTTTTTATAGGTGAGCAGATGAAGACTGGCATATGACATGTATTCTGGTTTTGAAAAACTAGAGCTTATAGGGGGAAACATGGTTCTATTTTTTGAATCAGCAGGTCAGATCTACCCAGAAACAGGTCTAACATTCGAGGTACCAAAACGTGTGTTGGCCAGTGTTATCATTTGCAGATAGATCTGTGAACACTGAAGCCTAAGAGAACATTAACATTTTTCAGGGAAAAGCATGTGTTACCAATTACATTTTTTTCACCAGGTCTATGAATTTGTTTGCAAATCTCCAGATCTAAAAATATGTTCAACATAACACAAATCTCCATTTATTTTCCAGTTTCCTGATCTTACTTACCCTAGCTTCCACAGATGCCCCAATCTGGATTAGAAATTTAATGGTGTCTGCCAACCTCTTGCTTTTCAACCTCAGTTCCTGCACCTCAGGAGAATGAGGTGAATGCTGGCCTTGTAGATCATGCGCCACAGAATTGTGGGCTACGACTGCACAGTGCAATGATGTCAAACCTTAAAATGGAAACACACCAGTGAGCATAACCAGCAGCCATTTGGATCGTCTACTCCAAATACAGACTCCAGTTAGTCATTCCAATACTCAGCTTACTGGGGTGGTTTGCAACAGAAATGCTTTAAGATTATTTATCCTGTTCTTCAAGTTCTACATAAATAGAATGACTTTTTAAATTTTCTTTGCAATTCAACACTGTGTACCATCCTGAGTCCCCTTCGGAGTTGAGAAGGGTGGTATACAAATAACGCAAATAAATAAATAAAGGTGTAAAGTTAACACCTATGTGCCTGAATTCTATTAGCAGTCTCCAGTAAACTGTTTAACTGTGAATCAATCCTTTAATATCTCATTTCAATGCATAGGCTCCCAGGTTGGAATAACAACATGGTTCAAGAACATTTTGTGTTTAAAACAAAACAGCTTGTATTCTTTGAGAAATCTTTCCATGTGCAAGGCCCTTAATAATAACACAATGCATATGCGTAAATAGATTAGCTATCCAAACAAGGGAGAAGAATAAACTTTTCAATCAGTAGTAGATTATTCCTTCTAGTTTTTATTTGCTCTCTTGAGTGTGACCTACATTCCACAGTCATTATGACCTACATTGCACAACACATTTATTCTGCTAATCCATATTCAGTTCTTTTGGAGTTCCAATACAGTCGAACAGGCCACATTTAATACCTTGAGGAATTGGAGGGTTAGGAGTAAACACAAACCAATATTTCACAAACTAAAGGGATTCAGAAAAAGTTCCGATCCTCTTGCTCTTTTTGATCTTCAATTTCTAATTTAAAATGGGTTACTAACAATATAATAGCACTACTTTATTAAATGGCATGCTATATGCCAAAGATTAATACTGACAAACAATTTCTGCATGCTTTTCTTCAAAATGTTTGCCAAATTTAACAAAGAACGAATACTAGACACTCACCATCATAATTAGTTGCCTCCAAGTCTACATACTGATTGCTTACAATAGCTCCTTTCTGGATTGCCTGCAGAAGAGAATGAGAGTATACATTAATGCCATGCAATTATGGAAAACCTTAACCAAACACTGGATGCATCTGATGAAGTGGATTCTAGGCCATGAACACCAGTGCCAAGTGAAAATTCTTAAGTCTTTCTGGTTCCACAAAAACTTGTTAGTGTTCTGAAAATTCTGTGATATCTTTGTAAGTGTATACTAAGATTATTTTTCCAATTGTCATGCAATATTTCTCATCTTTATATGTAACCATAATTCCCTCTGTTCTTTCCCATAATTTCTTTACAGCAAGACTCAAGCCTTTATTAGAATCTCATAATACATTTGAATCACTTTAATGCTGTTGCTTTCTCAGTTTCTTTAGACTAGGGCATTGTGTACAAATACAATGCAAGATGTACACCACCTTACCAGCCAAGTCATTAACCTCAATTGGGCAAGAACCTTTTGGTGGCCATATATACCCCTCCCAGAGGAGTGCCACATATATTCCAGTATAAGCTGAGTTTTTCAGCCCTTTTTTAGGATGAAAAAGCCCTCCCCTCAGCTTATACTCGAGTCAAAGTTATTTATTATTTTACTGGGTTATTATTATTATTATTATTATTATTATTATATTTATTATTTTACTCTATTATTATTATTACATTTACATTGTTACCTTATTATTGTTATATTTGTTATTTTACTCTATTATTGTTATTATTACATTTATTATTTTTCTCTATTTATTATTGATGTTATTATATTTATTATTTTACTCTATTATTGTTATTCTCTGTTTTTATTTTGAAATTTACCAGCAGCTGCTGTATTTCCCACCCTCGGCTTATACTAGAGTCAATATGTTTTCCCAGGTTTTTTTTAGGTAAAATTAGCTGCATCAGTTTATATTTGGGTCGGCTTATACTCGAGTATATACAGATAAGTTGACGTATTGGGAAGATAGAAGAGATACTTGCTACAAGTGAAAAATAAAGGTCATCTGCTCCTAAACATTTTGTGTTGAGTAAGGGCTACAGCATTGTAAGCACAACACTTGCTGTGCTATAATGTTAAAGGAAAATCGAGTATCTTCAAACCTTCATGTACAATGACTAGTTCCAACATATATTGCAGTATTAAGAGAACAGTATAGAAACTGATGAATCTGCTAAATTACCTGAAGGACTTGTGCATGGCCTTTTTCAGCACACACGTGCAATGGTGTCCTGCCCCAACAATCTGTAGTATTCACTTGGGCCCCAAGGCTAACCAAATCCTGTACAATAAGATGCTGGTTTGCTGCCACAGCCACTTGCAGGGCACTCTGTTAATAACAGAAAGCAGATGTATTGGTCAGCTAAATCTTATCAGGAAATAGTAATAAAAAGCACACCAGGCTATAATAAAGTATTTTCAATCAATAATTTCAAATGCTTCTCTTGAAGAGCTCTGGCATAGCCAGCTGACTTCTGCAGTAACTCTGTTACAAATTAGCCTGAATGCTAACCTTCAAAGTTAATATTAACAGACATTCCAGTATGTCTGTTTAAGTCCGGGAAATGCTAAATATTCAAAGGCACAAAATGATGGAACATATGGTAAAAACATCACCTGGCCATTGTGCTCTTTAATATCCAGCATGCGGAGAGCTGCCATCTTTCTCGCCAAGACATAGGATACTGCCCGGCGTCCCTGGGCAACTGCAATATGAAGAAACCTGGGGGAGGAGGAAAAGAAAATATATCTTTATTTAGTATCTTAAAAGTTTAAGAAAATATAAATGGAAAAAAATGAAGCTGAAGTCAAAACATCTCCCCAAAATCAACCTATAAGATATGCAGACAGAAAGGATCGGAGCTAGGTCATCCAATGCAACATTTCTTAAACTGATGCGGCAAATAGACATCCCCCACTTAATGTGCTAGGGATGTGCTCTTGGCTAGAAATGTCTTTCTTTTTGAAAATTCACCATGGATCAGAAGCTTGGAGTGGCAAACTGGCACTGGTCTGGAGATCACCACTTTGGGTGATCTAACTTGTGCATTTCTTTTAGTGAGGCATCATAGACATTTCCATGACTTGCACTTTTAATGCACTGTTGTGTTCTTCATTCAGTACAATGAGTATTATCAATATGCATACCGTATAACAGGGGAATCCTACTGACACATTATTTTATTTTTTAAAGCTGTTTCAGCCTTCTTAATCTGTTTTGAACTTGTTGATTTGCTCAATACTGTTTTTGGCCTTATTGTTACTATTTAAAGTTGCTTTAATCAGTTAATGTTGATTTTAATTGTAGGTCATTCTGTCTTGTGGTGTAGGCCAGAGTAAGCATATTTTAATAAATAATTTTAACAATAAATAATCTCCATTGCAGTTGCAATTGTAGACGATACTTACGTGTCACCGTCAGAATCTTTGGCAAGGATTTGATCTTGAGAAAGGTTCGCCAATTTGTTTTCCTCCTGTTCCACTTGCCACTGGAAGAATGACTTGCCTAGCTGTGCTGTGTTTCCAGTAATGTCCTGGTGTTGCAGAGGCATATTCGAAGCAGCCATCGGTAAGCCATGCTCTTCAAGACCACTGCACATATCACTGCTAAACTGGTTATAAGCCTGAGAGTGGCTGCTCATACCAGTTTGCTGGTGGCCACCAGACAGGGCTTGAGAGAGCGAACTGGAGATGGCATCGAGATCTTCTGAGTCATTTAAGAGAGAAGCAAAGCTCGAAGTAGTGCCATATGACAGCTCTTGGCTTTCATAAAGACTTTGTTGATAGTCAGAAGACTGGCTGCTTGCAGACTGTGGTCTGTATTCCAGGAGTGGATTCTGGCCGTAGTGCTGTGACAGTTCCTGGGTCTGTGGGGGTGAAAACTGATAATTCTGGGGCAATTCCAACATTTGTGGTGGACTGCTTGTTTGAAATGTTTGGTACTTCTGAGGTGGTGAAAAGGCTTGTGTTCCAGCCATCTCTTGATATTGTTCTCCTGGAGAGTTGGGATTCGCAGCACCGTGAAGCCAACTAACTTGTACTGTGTTCAGGGAAATTGGACTGGATTCATTTTTAATATTGATAATGTTCTGCAGCATGTCACAGCTGCCATCTTGTTTGGGCTCATTCATATGGGCATCCTCCATATTGCTTTCAATCGATGTTGGTGTCTGTGGAGGTGTCTGCAAAATAAAACGTGCACATTTTCAAACCTAGCTGACCACATCCTCAGCAGGTGGAAAATACATTTTGACTTATAAGCAATGCATATGGAAACACTGACAAAAAAATCTTACCAAGAGGTGAGGTTGGAAAGTCGCTGATCTTTTATAACTAGGTGCATCAGGAAAAGATTCATGGTTTTTTCGCTTCCGGCTGCGGGTTATTATGTTCTTCAGCTCTACCAAAATAAAGAAAATCTGCTTAATTTTCTCTGTAACCTGCTTTACAAATCTTTAAATGCAAATTTAAAATACTAAAAGAAAATATTTCTTAAATTTTACCTGTGTAAGGATCATAATGTACTAATCCTCCTTGTGCCTATTAAAAAAGAAGAGTAGACATTATTCACCATAAAATGAAGATCTGTTCCTTAAGTCACCTTAAAGGATATAGAAACTACTATCACTTTCTAATGTCGATATACACTAAATATAAAATTTCAGAATTGAAAATAAACATACATAAAGTGCACTCTTTAAATTTCAAAAAACGTCTACTAAGAAGTTATTAGTTCAACTCCATTACTAGTTACAATTTTTCTCCATGTTTATTCTGTTTCATCCAAACAAAAGCAGAAAACTTTACTGGATTTCCAAATTGTCTTGTTTTAAACTACATATCCACTTTTTTAAAAACCTCATAAATGTGCAACAAAGTAACTTTTGCACCTGATCCTCCACACCTCTCACAATGTTACTTGCAGACATGAAGAGAAGTAGATAGAATGAAAAGTTTACGAAGATATATATAACTTCTGAAAACAATTAGACAAATTGTCAATTCTTGTTCTGTTTTTGCTTTTTGAGAAGGCATTTATATAATATCCAGCTATAACACAACAACTGCCCCGAGTCCCTTTGGGGAGAGGGGGTGGGATATAAAGTTTATTTATTTTATTTGTATTTATTTTCAGAATCTTAAATGTAAGCATGTGCTAAGGTAAATATATGACTGCCTTTGTGTTTCAGTTACTAGGAAAAGTGCCTTAATCACCTAGTAAAATTACTTAATATCAGTTATTTAATTATTTGTAAATGGAAGAGATTTAGAGGAATATTAAAAACTGTGACAGCATCAAGTGTGTCCTTCAGATGGTACCTTCCCTGAAAAAAGTGTCTTAAACAGCAATGTGATTTTATAGGCAGGTATGTCTGTAGAAACCTTTTAGAAAAAACACTTTCAGGAAAAACATATTGGGGGGGGCGGGAGGGATAATTTATCCACCCAGGTCTGGAATGTCCTGAAGACCAAAAGACCCCCCCCCTTTTTTTTTTTTTAATCCATACATCCCAGATTGATAAATCCATCTATATAGCAGTGCTTTCAATCATTTTCACTAGAAATATCAAATAGCTAATATTCCTTAAAAATTGCCCTTTTTGATCAGGCTAAAGCTCTAGCTAGCAAAATATTCAGCAATTCACATTACTAGATGCAAATGCAATGCCATAGCGTTATATCCCAAGCACCAGTGAATAGTCAATGTCTTCCAGTTATGAAGAACTCCACTCAAATAACAGATACACATTCAACTAATTTGTCACACCTCTTGTCAAATTCATACAAGCTACTCCAAAGGTCTCACAATAATGTGTGTTAATTATACAACACAAAAGTTGCCCTGAGCTAGTTTTTTAATTTTGAAAAACCCACCTTTAATTCACCAGCACCATGATCAGAGGACATCTGTTTGCTGTTTCTAAGATGCAGCAACAGTTCCTTCACAGAGTTTTTCACACGAACACCTTGGAAAGGTCCTCTCTGTTGCTTTCCTCCCCCCATATGTTGTTTAACTGCTGAGACCCAAAACAAACATACAAACAAAATCAGTCTACTGCCTTAATCTGCTAAACAAGAAAATCAGTTATTCAAGAAAAAGAAAATTGTGCAGTTTTTTCTGGCAATTCATGTATTAACGTTATACCCTATGTGTTCACTACAAAATAGTTGTTGGTACAGTAAATGAAAATATACAGATAAAAATTCAATGATTTAAAAAGAAATCTAAAATGCATCCAATCACTAATTTAAAAACTTCTTAGGCTTGTACCTTAATTCTACTACTAAGTACTCCATAAGGAAAAAACATTTGTATTGATTCCAGACATACAAGCATCCATATTTCAATCTGTACCTCTGTTTTGTTGGCCAGAGGGATGGGAAAAGTGCAGCCTCTCCATTTTAAGCATAAATTAGCATCAGAATGACTTTATGTAAATATATTTGAAGAATTACTTGTGCTTATTGCCTCTAAAATAAAATCCCATGTCCCAAATCAGAAAGCGTTCAGCTCAAAATATTGGTTTGCTTATTTCATCACCTTTTTAAATGCAACATATATTAAAGGCTTAAAAAGGGGGAAGTGAAAAGAGGAAACAAAAATGCTTTACAGTCTGGTAGAGAAGTTGTGACTTCATTTTAAAAAGTACACATACTTCCTGCTCTAAATATAGAAGCACTATAGTTTAAGAAATATTGAAACCATTTTTAATGATTTTCCTGAGTTGGAATTTCTATCAAGAAAACCCTCACAATGTAAGGATGATTTTCTACTCTTCATAAAAAATGAAACAAAATGCCTAATGAAGGCAACTTGTTTTCTTGTATTACATTGTTTTCAAGATCAATAATTTAAGGTAGCAATAGAATTCGTGGGGAGGGGACCATTATCAGGAAAACCTAAGTAAACTGTCAACCTAATTTAATAATATATAAAATAAAACCCAGACAGCAGTTAATAAAATATGACAGGCAAAGTTTTAGTCAAAACACTAATGTGAAATGAAAACTCTCAGACAGCAATAGCAGCCTTTCGGTAAATCATCTATCCAACTAGATAAATTAAAATAAGCACATAATCTTAATTCTAGGCACATATACCCCAAATACTGTTATGGCACCTTGATTTAATTCCTGATTTAAAATATAATCCATAACTAGTGGAAGTTTTCTTCACAAATTGATCTAACCTACAAGTCTGAATAGACCTTATTGTATGTATGTAGAGGTATCCCATACTAATTTTTTTACATCAGCATTAATTATCTGAAATTAGTAATGCTACCAATAAAACGGACACTGTTCTCCAAAATATTCAACCCGTGTAGATGAATCTGTCAATTTGCATGACAATTATTTTCTCATTTCTCTCCTTCAATAACACTCAATGAAATCAGACCGAGATGTACACACAGACGTGAGCCAATATAGAGAACAATTATGCAGAATCCACAGAAATCAACCAAGAAATTACAAAAAAATGGATTTTCATTGCCATTGCTGTGGTATTTTTCACAGAGAGAGCATTCAAGACTGGTGGATGTCTGAATTTGCCAATTTAACGTTACATAACAGCAATTTTGTGGTTCTCCCAGAAAAGAGAACATTTCAAGAGACAGAAAGCACCCCTAGCAACTGAAGCTTGGAAACTCACTCCAAATGACTTTGATCTTGCCCTTCACACACTGCAAATTGCACAAGGCCTGTGGTATGTGTCGTTTTCCTCATTTATACAACACGCACAGCCAATAATTTATTCCTATAGATGTCATTATAGGCACAGTGAATGATATGTGCATTACAAGGGCATCAACACACAGCGCCACATATACAAATCCCACAGTCTTTTTTTCATTATTTCAAACAGCCAAAAGTGAAAGCGTTGCACAAAACACGTCAGAAGTGTGCATCTAGATCAGACATAGGCAAACTTGGCCCCTTCAGGTGTTTTGGACTTCAACTCCCACAAGTTAGGAGTTGAAGTCCAAAACACCTGGAGGGCCGAAGTTTGCCCATGCCTAGACAGTGGAATTAAGGCTGTCTGACAACACTTTAACTGCCATGGAGTCCTGGGGATTTGTAGTTTGGTGAAGCAGAAGAGGCTAAAGCCCTTGCAATACAACAACACTCATGATTCCATAGCACTGAGCCATGGCAGTTAAAGTAGTGCCAAATTGCATTAATTCTACAATACAGATGCACCCTGAACCATAGGCTCAGTGCCTGTTGTTTCTCACACATCTCTATCGATGCAACAAAAAAGCGGTCTCAGAATTAATAGTTTGGCACCACAACTGAGGGCTGAATAAAATCCCACATTTTCTGCTTTAAAGTGGGATATATGGAAATGTGGACTCTGGGCCCTTCCTCACAGCCATATAACCCAGAAAAACAAGGCAGAAAATCAAACAATAGCTGCTTTGAACTGGGTTCCAGACAGCTGAATAACATCCAACATTATCTGTTTTGAACTGGAATATATGGCAGTGTGGACTCAGATAACCCAGCCCAAGGCAGATATTGTGGAATTTTCTGTCTTGATGTTCTGGATTATAGCTGTGTGGAAGAGCCCCAAATCCACACTTACTATATATTCCAGTATAATGCAGATATTGTGGGTTATTATGCCTTGATACTCTGGGTTATATGGCTGTGTGAACGGGCCCCATCTAAGGGCCCTTCCAGACATCTATATATTCCAAAATATCAAGACAGAAAGTCCCACAATATCTGCTTTGAACTGGGTTATCTGGGGGCCCTTCCACACAACCCAATATCCCTGAATATCAAGGCAGAAAATCCCACAATATCTGCTTTGAGCTAGGTTATCTGAGGGCTCTTCCACACAGCCATATAACTCAGAATGTCAAGGCAGAAAATCCCACGATATCTGCTTTGAACTGGGTTATCTGAGGGCCCTTCCACACAGCCATGCAACTCAAAATGTCTTGAGCTGTAGTTTGTCAGAGAAGGCTTAATCTACAATTCTCTCAGGGCCCTTCCGCACAGCCCTATATCCCAGAATGTCAAGGCAGAAAATCCCACAATATCTGCTTTGAACTGGCTTATCTGAGTTCACACTACCATATATCCCAGTTCAAAACAGAAATGTGAGGTTTTGTTTAGCTGTGTGGAAGGGGCCCGAGTCCATACTGAGATAATGTGGGATTTTCTGCCTTGATATTCTTGAGTATAGGGTTGTGTGGAAAGGCCCTGAATCCACACTGCCTTATAACCCAATTCAAAGCAAATATTGTGGGGTTGTCTGCCTTGATATTCTGGGATATAGGGCTGTGTGGAAAGGCCCCGAGTCCACACTGCCATATAACCCAGTTCAAAGCAGCTATTGTGGGGTTGTCTGCCTTGCTATTCTGGGATATAGGGCTGTGTGGAAAGGCCCTGAGTCCACACTGCCATATAACCCAGTTCAAAGCAGATATTGTGGGATTTTCTGCCTTGATATTCTGGGATATAGGGCTGTGTGGAAGGGCCCTGAGAGAATGGTAGATTAAGCCTTCTCTGACAAACTACAGCTCTCAAGAGTTCCATATAACTGAGCCATGGGGGTTAGAAGCAGTGCCTAATTCTGAGGGTAAGAAGCGCCTCAGCTGCGGGGGCGTTCTGCGCCTGCGCCAACCCACGAGGCGAGAGGAGACCCTCGCAATGTAAACAAATACTGTGAAAGGGCGTACCTTCTCCGGCTGCGCGCGCACCGCTCCGTCCAGCAAGCCCTTGCCTCCCGTCGCCATGGCAGCCGTGGCCGGAAAGCTCGGCGTCGGAGCCCGGCGGGGAGCCCGGGGAGGAGTGGGTGGGCGAGCAGCTGCCCTCGCTGGAGTTGGGCGAGGCGCCGTAGAAGAAGGCCAAGTTGAAGGGGCTGCCCAGGGAGGAGGAGGAGGAGGAAAAGGAAGAAGAGGAGGAAGAGGAGCCGAAGTCGCTGTCCGGGTCGCGGCTACTGTCCACAATCATGGCTGCGAGGGAATAAGGGAGGAAGGCGCTGGCTGAGCTGGCAGGACGGGAACGGCGAGGGCGGAGGCGGCGCCACGGCTCTTATACGGCCTCCCCGCCCTCGGAGGCGGAGAAGGGCTGGCCCACGGGGCGAGGGAGGAAGGAGGCAGGCCTGCTAGTCGTGACCGAGGCCTACAGGCAGCCAGCGAGAAGGAGAGAGAAAGCCGCCCCCGCAGGGAGGAAGCTCGAGGCGCCTAAAATGGAGGAGGGTGAGAATAGGCCTTGCAGGGCCCGCGCCTTGGCTGCCTCATTCTGCGCCAGGTCTGGGCAGGTGTTTTGGACTTCAACTCCCACAATCCCTAACAGCCTATGAATCTACTCGAGTTGGGACTATCAATAGGCCAAAAATACAATCCTAACTTTGAAGAAAAAGAGAAAACTGGGTTGTTGTAGGTTTTTCCGGGCTATATGGCCATGTTCTAGAGGCATTTTCTCCTGACGTTTTCGCCTGCATCTATGGCAAGCATCCTCAGAGGTAGTGAGGTCCTCTGGATGCTTGCCATAGATGCAGGCGAAACGTCAGGAGAGAATGCCTCCAGAACATGGCCATATAGCCCGGAAAAACCTACAACAACCCAGTGATTCCGGCCATGAAAGCCTTCGACAATACAAAAGAGAAAACAATGGTTCTAGCTCAAGTATGGGCAAACTGCGGCCCACCAGGTGTTTTGGACTTCAACTCCCACAATCCCTAACAGCCTACGAACCTACTCGAGTTGGGACTATCAATAGGCCAAAAATACAATCCTAACTTTGAAGAAAAAGAGAAAACTGGGTTGTTGTAGGTTTTTCCGGGCTATATGGCCATGTTCTAGAGGCATTCTCTCCTGACGTTTCGCCTGCATCAATGGCAAGCATCCTCAGAGGTAGTGAGGACTACCTCTGAGGATGCTTGCCATAGATGCAGGCGAAACGTCAGGAGAGAATGCCTCCAGAACATGGCCATATAGCCCGGAAAAACCTACAACAACCCAGTGATTCCGGCCATGAAAGCCTTCGACAATACAAAAGAGAAAACAATGGTTCTAGCTCAAGTATGGGCAAACTGCGGCCCACCAGGTGTTTTGGACTTCAACTCCCACAATTCCTAACACCCTACAAATCTATTCAAGTTGGGACAAAAATAAGCCAAAAATACAGTCCTAACTTGGAAGAAGAGGAGGAAACAATGGTTCTAGCTCAGGTATGGGCAAACTTCGGCCCACCAGGTGTTTTGGACTTCAACTCCCACAATTCCTAACAGCCTACAAATCTATTCGAGTTGGGACAAAAATAGGCCAAAAATACAGTCCTAACTTGGAAGAAGAGGAGCAAACAATGGTTCTAGTTCAGGTATGGGCAAACTTCGGCCCTCCAGGTGTTTTGGAACTTCAGTTCCTACAAGTCCTAACAGCCTCAGGCCCTTAAGAGGCTGAGGAGGAAGAAGAAGGGGCCCGAGGTTGTTAGAATTGTGGGAACACCTGGAGGGCCCAAGTATGCCTGTGCCTGGGTTAGGAGCACTGATTTCTGAAAAAGTGTAGAAAAAGTCCAGGAAAGTGTCTCTTCCAAGGCCTAGGCCTCTTCAGCACCAAATGCTGTTAAGATCAAGTTAAACCTAGACCTTTCCCTCTTGTCTGCAATCCTTCCCTACCCTATGGACACAATGGTAATGATTTCAAAAGAAAATAAATCACCAGGAATAGATTTTCATGCCAATAATAATAATAATAATAATAATAATAATAATAATAATCAACTTTATTTATACCCCTCCACCATCTCCCTGAAGGGACTCAGGGTGGCTAACATGAGGCCAAGCCCAGACAAATTACAATAGAGCAAAAGTACATATAAACAAAGCACTAACATCAAATAAAATACTTAATAATAGCATAGTAATGAAAGAACAAAAAAAGTGTTTCAGCTATAGATAATTATAATAATAATGGGTTGCTAACGGGCTAATTTATTTGGCAAAGCAAATATTGTTTGGGAGCAAAAGCCTGCAAACTAAGAAGCAATTGTTGGAAGACCATAGAATAAAAGCACTGTTAGATGGGAGGAACTGATTTGGCATTGGGTTGCTTTGAGTTTTCCAGGCTATGTGGCCATGTTCCAGTAGCATTCTGGAGCCCCTGGTGGAGCAGTGGGTTAAACCCCTGTGCCGGCAAGACTGAAGACCAACAGGTCGCAGGTTCAAATCCGGGGAGAAGCGGATGAGCTCGCTCTAGCAGCTCCAGCTCCTCATGTGGGGACATGAGAGAAACCTCCCACAAGGATGATAAAATCATCCAAGCGTCCCCTGGGCAACGTTCTTGCAGACGGCCAATTCTCTCACACCAGGAGTCACTCCTGACACGACCAAAAAAAAAAGTAGCATTCTCTCCTGACGTTTCGCCCACATCTATGACAGGCATCCTTGGAGGTTGAGGGGTTGGAAACTAGGCAAGTGAGGTTTATGTATCTGTGGAATATCTAGGGTGGGAGAAAGAACTCTTGTCTGCTTGAGGCAAGTGTGAATGGTGCCGCAGATAATGCCAGAAAACTGATACTTGGAAGACGTATAACGCTTACTGAAGAAATATAAGAAAAAGGTGCAAAAGTAGGTTTATAGTTGCATATTAAGAACTGAAAACTACAAAAGATTTGCATAACTTCAAAGAGAACCAGAATGATGTTTTGGTTTGAGCAACAAACTATGACTCTGGGGAGCCAACTTCAATTTCTCACTCAGCCATGGAAAGCCATTGGGTGACCTTGTATGGGTCATGCACTCTCAGCTCTAGAAAATCCCATGATAGGTTCACCTTAGAGTCACCATAAGTTGGAAAGGCATACTACAACAAGAAAAAAATATGATGAAGACAGGAGGATGAAATAATGGAAAGTGGCATAGTCAGGCAGAACTAAAATACTGCAAACGAAGAAGAGAAATTTGCAGTGGAAGAGACTACATGGGTCATCTAGTCCAAGCCCCTGCCATGCAGGAAAAGCACAATCAAAGTGCCCCTGACAAGTGGCCATCCAGGCTGTTTAAAAGCCTCCAGAGAAGGAACTTCCTCCACACAGTGAGGCAGAGAGTTCCACTACTGAACATTTCTTACAGTCAGGAAGTTCTTCCTAATGTTCCAGCGGTATCTCCTTTCCTGTAATTTGAACCCACTGCTCTGAATCTCCAGTAAATATATGCAGAATTGTTTTCCCTCTGGAGTATTTTATAATGGAATATTTTTGAAGAAGTGATTCTCCAGTGTGTATTCTGATATGTTAAACTGGTGGAAAAGTAATTTAAGTGGCTCAGATGAACTAATAAAGTCTTTTCTTTGTACAGTTTTGTATTGCAATCTCCCATGGCTCCTCCAGGTGAGAAGTGATTCCAAAGGGATAAAATTTACATTATGGGTCCCTTTTCCCAGGAAACAACAAGATGGTCATTAAATTACAACATTCCAATACAATTATAATACAATAACCTTCAAAAATGTATTGCAGTTTATCAAGGATGAGAAGGATGATTTATCTAGCCAAAGTTATGTAACAATATTTTGAACTGTTTAATGTTATATAATGAGTATTCATTCAAGTTTTTTATATCCTGTCTTTTCCCCCAAATGGAGAATTGGGAAAGCTTTAAGCTAAAATACAATCGATCTGAAATATTATCTCCTGTAAAATAGTGGTCAGTGTTGCACAGAGGTCTGAGTGTTGGATTAGGTTTTGGGAAGACAAATTTCAAATCTCAGTTGGAAGAAGGCAATGGTAAGCCTTCTCTGAGCAAGTCATGACAAGAAAGCCCAATGATAGGCTTGTCATAAATCATAATTATAAGAACATTGACAGTTACATTCCAAAATATCCATTTTAAAATGGAACTAACCACATTTCAACCATAACGGTTCAAAATGATGAAAACCCCATTTTAAAAAATAGTATCAATAAAAATGGTAGAGTACACTCCTTTAAAAACCCAGTTTTCAAAAAGATGCCACAGTAAAACAAAATCTTTGTTGCTGGAAGGAACTGCAATTGTAACCTTCAAGGAAGGGCGTTCCAGAATCAATGAAGCCTGCCTTACATCCATGACCTCCCTTTTGCTAGAGTTAGCCACAATTGGTATATGAGTGTTTGAAGCATTCTTAGCTAAAATTACAAAACATCCGTTATTTTTCACATGCTACTGAAGTGCTATACAGTGAGGATTGAGGAATTACAGGAGTAATTCTCTTCTAACATGCAGCCTTGTGTGTTCCTTTCTAAAGCCACTGTATACTCAATACTGAACCAACAGAGTGTAGTTAATGGTTTGAATGCTGGGCTACAATTCAACATGGAAATGCCCTTGAAAAATGCCTGGAAACATTAGCTGGTCCTTAATGCTTGATTGGTTTGAACTGACTATTGGGACCAAGACAGCGTGGTGTAGATTTTTGAGTGTTGGACTGTGACTGTGGGTTTGAATCCCCCCTCAACCATGGAGTTCCATGGAAACCCCTTCTTAAGTTCGGAGGTTAGAGATTTGCAGAAAGAAGCACAGCCATAAACCCATTCCATTTTGACAAATAACAGTACTAGTATCAAGAGCTCTTCAAAGGCTTGTTTTGATTTCTTGCACAACATTTTCCAAAATCCTGCAGGCAATGGCTTTGCTGGCTGAGCATTCTCAGAGCTCTAGCTCTAGAAAGGAATTTTCTGAGAGCTCTTCTTGTGATTCAGTTGTGTAAGCATGGTGTGCCTTAATTTCCATGTAAAGCTAATAATTTCCATGGAAATTAAGATAACTGAAATGTTCTTAAGGGTATGATATGTTTATTAGTCCTTAGACATAGAACTGAGAACCCGTGTGAAGAAGTGACCTGTGGGAAGAGGGTACAAATGCCACTTGGTTACTCACTAGGCAACCTTGGGCAACTCATACTCTTATCAGCCTCAGAGGAAGGAGATCACAACCTCACTCTGAACAAATCCTGCCAAGAAAATCCTGTGATAGATGTGCACAATTGGTAGGTTCACCTTAGCATCCCTGTAGGATTGAAACAAATTGAAAGTAGAGACATAGAAACGGTGGAGAACACAACTCGGATGGGAAAAAGCCTATTGTATCCATATGTAAATGGATGCAGACATATGCCAGTGTTTCCAACAGTATTATAACTCCCACTATGGAACTTTAAGATATTTCATAATTCCTGTCTCCGTTTCCCCTGCTTTTTTTGAACTCATTTGTCAGGTT